GCCAATAAGCAACGTAAAACTTACAAGGTAGGTACTGCAATGACATGGTGCATATGCATTCAGGAAGTACAATGAGATGCAGAAGCGACGGTATCACGGTTCTTCCTTGCTCCAAGCTACAGTAAATAGCTAACAATTTTGTTTACGACAGATAGTCGAGACAATCAAAAATTAATAATTATACGAATGAGCATAATAGAAATTAATATGTTATTTAGCAGTTATAGTTTTTAAGCAAATTCGTGACATATAACTGCAAATTCCAACGGCGATGCTTCATCACCTGTCCTATAGCATGCATGAAATCACGAAATATTTATCAAATTGCTCTTACACCCTTCGCTGCCATCGCAACAGCTTTTGCTTTAAGTAAAGCGTTTTCGAGTACGTACTTCTGTGGTTCGCCTTTATATAGTTGTTTGTCAAGATCCTCTGCGAAATTTGACTTCACCACTTCAAATGCTAAACCCTAAAGCAAAGAAATATTAATTTTAAAGCAGCTCAGTATATTGTGGCAATCATATAAACCTACATCTACTGATGTGCAAACGCAAATAAGGAGGTCAGCTCCGGAAGCATCCGCTGGTAATGAGCAAAGTACTGCTCTGTAATGTATTACATGAATAATATATAAAAAATATGAAGCGATATGAATTTATGCGCTGCAACTGTCCATATGACGTTGATCCATGGATTGCTTAAGTGATGTGGTTGTCGCAGAGGCGAAAGAAAGCTCGAGAAAGTTGAACTCAATCGAGTTGAGAGCTCAGCCAGTCAATTCCCATTAATCTGCTCCAATCAGATAATTTGTGATAAACTTTTGAACCTAATCACGGTAGCTTACTTGGTTAACAGTCGAAAGACAGGAGGCACTAACCTAAGTCGAGAAAAGTTGCCTTTAATTATTCTGAATTGGATCAATGACTGCCTTGCATCGCAAGGAACCAAGAAACTGTAAGCCGTAATGAACGTATATATTACAGCCTAATTATACATATTGCCTCCAAACTGTGACTTTACACAACTGATTGCATTGTTACAGAATTCACCATAGCACCACAAAAAAACATGCCACCAAAGGTATCACATAGAGGAAGTGAAGAAATCAAACGTTCACACAGAAAAGATCTTCCTTTCTTCCGCTTACGCATCTATGGATAACATATCGTATCAAACATAGAATGTTCTGTCTTATTTCTGCAACTGCTCACTCTTCCTAACGTAAAAACAGAGCTTGATCTTAAAAAAGATCATCGCTTGCCGAAATACGCCAGTTACGAGTCTAATTAATTGATAAATTACTTTTCTCGCCATTAAAGGATAAACTGTCAAAGTTCTAAGGGAAATAATACCATTTCCTACTTACCAGCTTCTCTAAAATTTCTTGCCGACGAGGCGACGCACTGGCCAAAATTAGTGATTTTCCACGTAATCTCGGAAGCAACGAAGCAAACATCCCTGGAATAAATTAACATTACAATATATGTTCAATTATCAGTTCTTCAATAAAAAACTGTTAAATTATGCAACAGCAATGCTACGGATGCTGACAGTGGTATAACAGGTTAAAGGCTGTTCTGCGTCATAGAGGGATCAGATTCAAACTGCATATACATAGCCAAGTAAAAGAGACAACATTCATCAACCCGTCTGGTCAGCGTGTTTAACCGTACTGAACATCATGAAAAATCAAGTCACAACTGCAACTACTGTCCCCATTCAACAGGCGATAGATAGCCACCGGCGCGGACAGCAGCTGGTGAGGCATGAAGATAGGCGATGATAAGAATACTAGGGTTACTGCTGCCGTTTCCTAATGCTGGCAACGTATATCTACAGGTACACTTACATAAAGCATGGCTTTAATAGATAGAAGAATTCAGGAATTTGGTGAAGTTGGACGAGAGGAGGAGGGGCTGCTAGAGCAAAAAAGGAGCATTAAACTAAATTCGCACAGAAGTTTGAGGAAGTGAACAGCACTTCAGAAAGGTGTACAAAAGTGGTCCTACGAGTTTCAAATGAATACGACTGCAAGTGATCCAAGTATATGCGCCGACATCAAGCCATGTCGATGAAGTGCCTGAACAATTTTATGAGGATATACAAGTACACCAACATTAAGAAAACCGTCACAGGTTTACCAGAAGTGATTTTAATGCAAAAGTCGAACATCAGCATGGAAGGGAATAACATTTGGGCTGATTTGGTTACCGCGAAAAAACGGCAATGTTGACCGACTAGTGAGGTTTTCCCAAAAGAAGCAAATAACGGATTTTCATAAAAACCAAGTGAAACATGGATATGGAAAGATATAACAGATGTCAGAAACGAAATCGATTTGAACCTCAGTAGCATAAAAAACAGAGCACGATGCCTCGATGCTGAAAGAGGTTTAGTGAAAGGAGCGACTGTAGATTTTCTACGCACAAAGTGGGTCTGAACTCAGTTTTGAAAAGAAAGAAATTGCTGACGACGAGACACAAGACAATCGACGTGGAAGCAATAAAAAAGAATATCGCGCCATTCCAACTCAAATTAAATAGCCATTTCGACATCCATAACGGAATGCAAGAAAAAGAAAGACAAGAGCAAGGCGACAGTTACAAAATCCGCCAATGACACCTATGGTAGAAGGATGATAAAGCCTAACCGAAAAATCACAAAACAAAAGAAAAAGAACTTATGAAGAAAAGAAAGAAATGAAAACTACAACAGATCAGAAATGAAAGATCGAATACCTTAGACTTTTCAGAATTTTAAGGAAACGTCCGAGCATTCAACTGCAGACCGCTAAAAGTAGCTACTGAAGGTAACCGAACCTTCAAGAAATTAAATCGAAAATTTACGATCGGTCAATGACAAACAAATCTTAGCTGTTAAAGGAGAAGACTGTACGATCACCGGCGACAGACAAAAGAGATTCTAAAGAGAATGCAAGATTCCAATACCAAATTGTAAAAATATGAAGATACTGATATCCTTGGTAACGATAAGAATCCTAAAAAACAAAGCACTCATGGTACTATGTATTTTGCCAGAATAAGTGTGCTATTCTGTAAAACAGTCAACGCCAGATAGGGCTTCAGGCGATGATGGCACTGCATTACAACTGTGGATTCAAGACAGGAAGCGTGAATTAGAATATTAGCGTGTTTACTTTAGCACTGTCTAAATGAACTGAGAATTACAGACGATCAGACTACTGCATCGGTGATTCTACTTCACAAAATGGGAGAGGTGATATGAAGAACCACAGACCGATGTTTGTTGCCAATCCTCAATCAGATCTTCACAACTGAAAAAAGACTTTAAAACGAACTAGACCCGCCACAACCAAAGGAGAAAGCCAGGTTCAGAAGTAGATTTAATACCACTGATCATGTCCAGGTGGTACAACATGGATAATTTAAACAAGCAGTGAATATCAGTTTCCTTTCTGCGTAAGGGTTTATCGATTTCGAGAAGAGTTTACACCCGACGTTCATTAGATTACTTAAGAAAAAGAGAATCAAAAAAGATACATGCACGAAGACTTTGACAGGAATGGATATAACGCTTGTTCCACGTAGTT